TTGTGGAGGGGGAAAAACACTCATACAAGGCAGAAGATCTCCTATCCCAGCTTTCTTTATCCCAATGCCCCTTAGATGTGCCAGATGATGGCTCTTGTCATTCCTAGTCAGAATAGTCATAGGCATGCTGGCTGAGCATGGTGGGCATTGTAGTCCGACATCTCAGGAAGAAACTGGTTGGAGAAGGCTGTCTTGGTCTTCAGACAGAGCTTTCAGCCTATAATTCTCTTTCTCTGTATCTTATTCTGTTCCAAGCAGATTTTGGTAAACATTAGAAGAAATTTCGAAGTGATTTTTAAAAATCCAAAAAGATGGAGAGGATGCTGGAGCATCCCTGGGGGCCTTCTGGCTCCCACATACAGCCACCAAGCCAGTTTCCCAACTCCTGCTACATAGGTTTTAAGGTAGAGAAGGGATACTAGATGGCCTCCTCTCTTTTCAGCATTTAAGTACTCAGATCTGTGCAAGTAGCAACAGCAGAAGGTTGATAAAACTACATTGAAAAATAGATTGTTGGTGAATGAGCACAAAATGGAGTAATGTCATTGTTAAAACATTGCGAAATCAGTTTTTCTTATAGGGCATCCCATTATGCATCATGTACACTGTTACCTTAATATGATAAGAAATTAATATGATTAAAAAAAAGGCACCAAGCTCTTTCACAGCCTTTGAAAGAGCACTCAGTTATCCTGTTCTAGGATGAAGCAGCTCAGTAAAAAGCATTGTACCTGGGTGTTATTTTTTTTTTAAGGAAAAGAAGGCAGGAAGAGGAGTTGTTTGGTCATGTCCAGTGGTTATCTAATACCTAATACCTAGAGCATAATGTTCTGGGCATTTGCCATCTACCTCTCCCATCAGCCTGCAGGGCATTTAGTCAACCTTTGCTAGACATGACGTGTGGTGCCAATTGCAGGCCATAGCTTCTCCACCCCAAGCTTGAGCTATAAATTCTCCAATACTAATTTGTCTGCTCCTGAAAGACACACTTCAGTAGCTGATAAAAACTTTCGAGTCTCAAGTCTCTTAAGGAAAGTCACCACAAAAATATATACTGTGGACCAGAAGCTCAGTCTCTGAGCACAGACCTTGCCACTTTGGAATGACACACACACACACAAACACTTGGACCATGGGCTGCTCCTAATGCTGTGGCAACATTTGTACCTCTATTTCCTGTCTTGCAATGGGTATATAATATTAACATGGTTGCCACATATTATTACAGCTGCTGCCTTATCATCTGCAATTTCTTGCTTTTTCCTCTCTGTGTCCATTATTAAAACTCTTCTATGTCCTCTAACAACCTTTTGTCTAACTTACTATAACAAAGATTCAGGCAGTTTATGTTTAGCAAGGATGGTGTTGATCAAAGATGTATCTTACTCATTTTTGGCTGGTGCTTTTCAAAGATTTTTATTGAATTTTTTTATTGATTTTTATAAATTTTATTGTTAGTGATTTGAGTTGCTGGTGATCAGGTTTCAACCCTCTTCCCCAGCTCCCTAGAACTGTAATCACCCATAGGTGACTTACTATGTCCCCATGCAAAATGCTTGCCTTCCCTTATATCTATCTGTTCTGAAAATGTATATCCCTCAAACTCTGCTTGTGGGTTATGAGAGTGGCAAGTATAAAGTAATTAATGGACAAATGACAAATTTAGGATGAATGAAAGGAATAAGCTATATTGTAGGGACTGCATCTGAAACAGAATGATTAATTTTAACTCTCTTTCAATTTTATTCTGCTATATCCTTTTTTGAAATGGCCAATGGGCTAATCAATAAAAGATTGATTGATTGATTTGGATGCTAAAGAGAGAGCTGTGGGAAGAAGATGGAAGCAAAGTGGCCCTAATGATATTAGTCTGCATCAAAGATGTACCCAAGGCAAAGCTGACCATGTTATTCTGGTACCTGAGTCAGAATATCCTACAAGAACCTCACCCACAGTTTTATGACAAAGCAGCATCTTTGTTGTTTATTATTGCTGTATTTTTATGCCCGGGTGAGATGCTTGTGGGATTTTCCGCCTTAGAGATCAAAATAACACATCCAGCCTTATGCACCATGAAACCTGACCTGGAAGAACCTGACCAGTGGCACATTTGCCACTGTGCCCCAGGAAACAAAATGTGCTAGAGCATACTTTGTTAAATGCATCATCTACTCATTCTCCAAGGGCCACTGTTTACTCTCATATCATAGTGGGTGCAGTGAATCCACTCTGGGTTGTAGTCCAAACTTTAAAGGAACTATCCAAGGTGCTGAGCTGTTCTGTGGATGAGGCTTAGTACCTTGGCTAACTTTTTCTAAAATAATTGAAAGTGGAACCCAAACCAGATTTACTGTTTCACTGACATGGAGGTTTCCAGCTGCTAATGCCAATCCTTCTCCCTTCCCCATTATCTGCTGCTATGGGACTAATGCATTCTTGACCAGAATGTTCATAATTGCTTTTCTTATCTTTGTAGGGTACCATTTGCTTGAGTCTGCTTCTTGAATGAGAAAAGCCTCAGGAAAAGGCAGAGGACATAGATAACTCCTGGGGACTTCAGTGCTGAAGGATGTCAAAAGTCATCCCCAATCAGGTGGTACGAGTTGGACAAACAATCTGTGTCTCAACCCCAGAAGAACATGCTTGTTTGCATCACCCTAATGGGTGCTTGTCCTGCCGCACTTTGCCAGCACAGTGTTTATATTATTCAGTGGAAGGCTGGGAAAGACAGAGCTCATTGACTCAAACCAAAACATGTTCACTATCGAAGATGGACTGCTATGACTCTTGTAGATCTACTCCAGAGGACATGCCTATGTCACCTCCAAATCTGATGGACAACTGTATACAAGAACAACCTACAGAACCAAGCAAGGATACCTGTCCAGTCTCTCCAACTTTGGATGTATCCATTGAAAAGTTGAACCGCCTAATTTTGGAAATTGATCCTACTTTTCAGCCTCTCCAGTTGAAGCCAACCCAGTCCCAGAATCCTGTCCAAGCTCTTCCGCAAAACAGTTCAGCGGTTGGCCCAAAACCTGAAGCAGATTCTCCAGGTATTATATGTATCAGGTCACAAGGGCCAATCTACAGAGCCAGTTAGATGGTCCCTGGTATTTTATCACTGAACATTTCCAAAATATATTAGAACAATCGTAAGACTGGTTTTCTGCCCCAAAATAGCTCTCCCAGAACATGTGGTGGTGAATTTTCTACTTGATAGATTAAAAAAGAAAGTGTGTGTGTGTGAGAAAGAGAGAGAGAGAGAGAGAAGGAGTAATCTGTCGGGATTTCTATTGGTTGATCTCCATGGGTCACTGGTTAACTCCATATAACTGTTCCACCTAAAACACCTAACTGATTTGTCTGAATGGTAATGGATTAGATGCAACCTTGTACATGAATGTGTGTGTGTGCACCCACATGCGCTCACACACTTCATTTCATTGATTTGGCTGGGCTGGGCCTGGAGGTAGGGGAGTTTGTTCAGACAAGCCTACTTACTCATTCTAAAACTCCAGTGATGCCTCAGAGGGTGTTCCATGTGGCCAGTGCCAAAGGCAATAAAGGATTATTTGTCATCCCTCCCCAACCCTGCACTCCCGCCACAGATACGTCTTTGAACTATAGCCGCCAGGCATGTCAGGAAATTGAAATAAAAATAAATTACAGCTCTGCTGGGTCAGCCTAAAACTTTTTGCTGCCTGAAGCAAAGATCCTCCCCCCAGTTTGATGTACAGAAACCAGCTGGACCAGCAGCAACGAGATAGGGCCCTTTAACACAGCAGAAGGCTGCAGGTTAGTTGAGGAGAGTAAGAAAAGACAGCTGGATCACATAGTTCTGTTCCTCAAGGGAGAGAGAGAAAATTCCAAGGGGTCTGGTGGACCAGCAACGTGTGTCACTGCTATTCTCCTTTATTTGCTCCCTGAAGCAATTGCCTCACTCTGCTTAATTCTAGGCAATTCCCCATCTCCCTCTATCTCTCTTTCTCTTTCCACCCCCAACCTTTCTCATCTTAATGTAAACATTCGCAGATACAGATATTCTGATACTCCTAAGATTTTCCGAAATGAAAATGTCCAGTGGGCCTTAGTATCTACTGGGGTTTGCTTTCAGGACCCCTCATGGATACTGAAGTCCCATTAAATACAAAGTAAATGGTGTCCCTTATATAAAATGGCAAAATGAAGGCTTGCTTCATATAATATTTTCAAGTTGTGGATACTTGAATCCATGGATAAAGAATCAGTGGATACAGAGGGTGAATTGTAATTATTTTTCCTGGATGGTATCCCATAATTCATGGGATACTGTGCCTTAGTGGTTAAGATACCAATTCTGATGATCGGAAGGTTGGCAGTTCAAGGGCTGAGTGCTGCATGATGGGGTGAGTTCCTTTCATTAGTCCCAGCTTCTACCAACCTAGCAATTTGAAAGCATGCAAATGCAAGTAGATAAATAAGTACCACTTCGATGGAAAGGTAACAGCATTTGGTGCAGTCATGGTGGCCTCATGATCGCCGGATTCGTCTTTGGACAACACTGGCTCTTCAGCTTAGTAATGGAGATGAGCACCGCCCCCTGCAGTCGGTTATGACTAGACATTCATGTCAAGGGACTACCTTTACTTTATCCCATAATGCACTTGACAATGAGAGGAAATGGAGAAGCAAAAAACATTTTCTCATAGAATCACTGGGATGGATCTCCACTAAGGGGGTTGCAGACTTCCAGAAATAGTGCAAATTGAGTCCACTTTCAGGGTTAGGGTTAGTGCTAGGGAGTCATTGGAATTGTGTTTTTTTTTTTTTCTGAGACATTGAGCCTTCTCTATCAGAGAGCTCTGGTGCCACAATAAAATACAATTCCCATAATTCCCTAACCCTAAACCTAACTCTAAAATTGGACTCAATTTGCACTATTTCTGGCAGTCTGCAACCCTATTAGTCAAACCTTGACTGTTAGACCCATGGTTGGTTGAGCTAACAAGTATGACAAAGCCAGCATGGTGCCATGGTTTGAGTTCTGGACTGGGACTCCGGGAAACCAGGGTTCAAATCCCTGTTCAGCCATGGAAACACATTGGGTGACCTTGAGCTAGTCATACATGCTCAGCCTTTAAACAGCTCTTGCCAAGAAAACCCTATGATAGGGTTACCATAATCTGGAGTCATCTTGAAGGGATATGGCAATGCTGAGTATATCTCATTCCAGCCTAAAGAGTTGTAGAGAGTCTTGTAAGCCATCTAGTTCAAACCCTTAGTCCAGAGTTGGAGTGTCATCGCTAACAGAAGGCTGTCCAGCATCTGCTTGAAGCTTTCCAGTGAGGGACAGTCTATATAACCTCTCTATGTAACCAGTTCCATTGCTGAACTGCTCTTATCATCAACATTTATCTCCTAATGTTCATATCAGCTGGGAATGATGGGAAGTGCAGTTCAACACATTTGAAGGTGATGCAAGATTGAAGCAGCCTGTTTAAGTCTTTTCTCATGAAGGAAGATTCTGTGTCCCACTTGGTCATTCCTCCTATCTAACCCTTCTCTTGGGGGTGCTTAGATGATTTGGTATTATAATTGAGGTAGAAGGGTTTAAAAAAAAAAAAGCATTAGCCATGCATTAATAAACTAGATTTCCAGCATGGTGTAATGGTTTGAGTGTTGAACTATTACTTTGGAAACCAGGGTTCGAATCCCTGCTCAGCCATAGAAACCCACTGGGTGGCAAGTCACACACTCTCACTCTCAGAAAATGGCAATGGCAAACCACCCATGAAGAAACTTGTCAAGAAAACCCCATGATAGAGAATCTTCCCAATCCACTGATTTTCCTGCCGTGGAACAAGAAAAACAGACAGGGATCAAGCAGTGGTCATCATTCCATAAAGATCTTTTAGATAGTGAGATCCAATAGATGAGCTTCTTGCCTTTCGGGAGCTTAATTGTGGGGAGGGCATGGTTGATGGAATCAATTTTCAGCTAGCCTAGCAAAATTGGTAGACACCTGACAAAGGTACCACTTGATTGATGGCAATATTAACTCTGCTCCTCAAAGCCTATTCTCAATAAATGCTGCATGCCCCTACCAGGAAAAGAATAGTTATAGCCTCCATTCCAGGAATGGAGGTACCACCTAAGACCAGGATAGGCAGCCATAGCAATAATTACAACATCTCTGTTGCTACATTGTCCAGTTTGTGCATCTGAATCTGATGTGAAAAGCTATCTCATGACCTGTGCTCCATCCCTTAATGAACACTACTGCTCTCTTAGGTGTTTCTCAATTTTTGGTCCTCCAGATGATTTGGGCGTTAACTGCTAGAAAACCCAAACAGGAGTCAGGGATTCTAGGAGATAAATTTGGTATGAATAAGATGAAGAATAAAATGAAGAAATCTGAGGGCCCTGCCCCATTAACAGGTCTGTTTGATTATATGGAATCTGGTGATGGAGAAGACACCATTTTGTCCTTGTCCCAACCATTCCTGTTCTGCTGAGGCAGGTGACCATAATGCTCATTGCAGATATCTGAACCAGCCACACCATTACAGCCTATGGATCCCCACCAATGACTATGTCACACCAAAGTAGAAAGGCAAGGCAAATTCACATTGCATAGAACAAGACTATGTTAGAGTTTGCACTTTGACACTGTTTTCTTATTACAAAAGGCACACACAGAGTTATTTGCAAAGTAGGCAGGGGAAGATTGCATATTTTATAGACGCTTGGATTGTCCTGCAAAATGCATGCAAGCAGATACCAGGAAAGAATTACACACATGTGCATGTGTCTCCGCATAGATATACACATCACAGACAAAAGTGTGTGTGTGTGTGTGTGTGCTTTCAAACAAAAATGGTGCTGTTCATGAGCATTTTAGGCCTAAAATCAGTTACTAAGTACACAGGGCAATATGCTAAGCAAATGAGCTGACAAAAGAAAAGCCTTTGAAATTCATGTGTCTCCTCTCCACAATTATAGAAAACTGCCTTCTACTGAATGAGATCACTATGGAGCCTTATAGCTCAATAACGTCTGCTCCAGGATTGGGAAACGTGTGGAGGTTTTTAGGTACTGTTGGACTTCCAATCCCATCAGCCCTAGCCAGCACAGCTAATTGTAAAGGATGATGGGATCTACAGTCCAGTAACACCATAGGGGGCTGCACATTCCCTAATCTGAGCTAATACAGACAGGAAGTGGCTATCCAGGGATTCAACTAGATGAAGGTCTCTCCCAGCATCACCTGGGAACTCCCCAGTTTTGAATTGGAGAATGCCAGTATGGAAAATATGTGCTGTACTACTGGAGGGGGAGGGGGAGAGAAAACAGATTGAATTTTCATTTTAGGCCACTTATGCTTGGAGAGAGGAAAAGGTGTCTCATTAGATGTATCATGAGAAGGATTGTTAGGAATCAAACATTTGTGAAGAAATCCTTTTCTGGACATGTTGGTTAGGAGATTCTGGAAACGGTAGGCCCCCAAAACTAGTTTCTTAAGCTCTGATTGAAGATCTGTACAAACTACCTTGATGCTATGACATGGAGGGCCCCTTATATTACAACATCACGCCCCCATATTTGCATTTCTATATAGCATGAAATCTATTTCAGAAAAAGTCAGTGTGAGATCATTGCCTTGCTTCAGTCAAAGCAGCTTTGAGGTGTGGCCTTGTCTCTCTTAGCCTGCCTCCAGATGTTTTTCATCTGGAGTCAGGTAGAGGCAAGAAGGGGAAAGCACTGAAGCATGCATCCCCACCCTCTCATGCAGGTGCCAACAAGCAATGCACTCAGTAATATAGTGAGCACCAAAATGACTCTACATAACACAAGTCATGGTTTGGCAGGGTTGTTTGCCTCCCAGATAAAGGACCAGGGAGGTGGTTCTTTGTAGCAGGAAAAGAGAAATGCCTGGAATCAAAACAATGGCTCTTAATCTAGAAGGCTTCCTATGCACACACACGAATCCCACACATTTCTGTTTAGATATCAATGTGCACCCTGGGTGGTGATTATATAGTGTCTTATATAGTGGTTCACCTCACCAATGGCTAGGATGGCTAAGGCCGGTGGGAGCTGCACTCTAACAAAATCTGCAGGACCACAAATGGCACATTCCTGGTGTATCTGCTCCAAGAGTGAGGAACCTGTGGCCTCCAAGATGTTGGATGACAACACCCCCAAGCTTTAATGTCAGTTATAGTCCGGCGACATTTGGAGGGTCACAAGTTCCTGTCTCTAGCCCATTTGTCAATTTACATATAATAAAATAAATGTAAAACAGGGGCAATTAGAGCTCAAAAAGACATAAATCTTGATCTAAGTTTTTTTTCTTTAATAAGATGCACTTTCTTCACTTCTGTTCAAGAAGCAATCTATATTTGGCTATATTCCTAGAATATCATCTTGCCACTGCTCAGTTATGGGTGGCTTCAGCATGTTTATATTCAGGCTTCTTTAAAATAACTGTCTAAACACTTTTCTGGCATAATTCATTCAGTGACCACTAAGGAAGAGATTTTTGTTCTCATGTCATCCTCTTTTTGCAGTATGGGGCTAATGGGGCTGACTATCTTTCTGAGGGTGAGTATATGTGTTGGCTCATTGTAAGGATTGTTAAGATCTTTAAAATATTCAAAATGATACAGGCGCCAATTCCCATCAGCAATGCTGCTAGGGCAGTTTATAAAACTAAACCCCAAAATAAAATGAAAATATCAGTAAACTCCCCCCTCCCATAGATATGAATATTTTTACAACATTAAAAATTCAAAATGTTTAAATTATGATCTCTGTGTTGCTTATCAAGCAGAATGAAGAAAGCATTGTAAAAAAAATAGGACCAAAGGTTAACTTCTGTTGAACTCTGACTGATCTTGTATGTGTTTGTGTGTCTGTGTGTCATTTTACTGCCTTTTTATCCCACTCCTCAGTCAAGGGTCTTGAAAAAGCTTATAAACAATGAGCTTTTTTAAATGATAGTCCATAGTCAACAGCTTACATATTCTAAAAATGTGTACACACTACACAAAAGGAAAAACAAGATGGGGAGGGAAAAATAAAAAAGCAGATGCTCTACATTAAAACTAGCAGAATGGCCCTTTTGCCTATCTTTCTCCATTTCAGCCTGCTGGGAAGGCTGGTGGTGTTGAGAGTTGTGGAAAGACCCTTCAGGAAAATGTTCTTCTAAATTTTGTCTTCTGTTTGTTCTTTTACCAGAAATAAAGTACATTGAAATGTCTCCAGCCAGAGCAAAGGGTCAGGAGCCTTGGCAAAACTCCACCAGTCCTTCCAGCACTCCACATTCCATGTCTCCCCTGAACACCAGGAGTTTGTTTCCTTGTGGAAGGACCCAGGGAGAAAACACTGATGCCAATGGCCACATCGCCTTCCTGTGTGCCCATGATTCTGGAGGTAGCCCCCAGCACCTCCCACCCACAGGGAGGCAGTCACCAGCTTGCATCCAAATGTCTGAGAGCATCTCCATTCCACAGGGGAACCCAAACAGCTCTGTTGCCTATGAGTCCAGTTCCCACCTGGCTTCCTCCCCAGGCGTTGAGATTTTGTTGAAGTTGTCCCAGCATGGGAGGATGATGCAGCGGTGCAGTGAGACTTCTGTGCTTTCAGCAAGCCCTGGATCAGATACCAGTTACATTTTTGGAAGGTATTGTTGTTTGAATACTAATAGCAATTCACCCTGCAAATGCCAAAGGTCTTATAGAAAAAATGACAGCATCCACATGCAACAGAGGTATCAGCAAGCTCAAAAATTCAAAGAATTACAAATATGTATATATATTTAGAGGGGGAAACTCCTTTAAGGACCAGGGAAGGAAAAGGCTATGGCTGTCTGGCTGACATTCTGCTCCAGATTATGTATTCTGTAACATTTTTCTTGTGGATCTCATTTGTCTCCTTGAAAATTCTAACTTCTGATGATGGAAGGGTCTATATACATAAGTGTGATATCAGCTGACATCCAGTTAGTGAAAGAAGCTTCTTGGTTTCCTATCTTTGAGTCAAAGCATAGAAGAGTGGCTAAACTCCTCATCCTCATCCTCATCCTCCTC